CTGCTGGTGGCAGGGTCTCCAATAGATGCAGCAAGTGAGCCCCCCCCCCCCATATGGTATTTGGCCTACTCTTCCACACTTACCAGATGTCTTGGAAGACGTGGGAGTACCCACATTCTCAACCAATATATTAACTGCGGTTGTACCCATTTTAGTTACAGGTGCAGCCCTGCAATTGCGTATTAATGGTCACCGCTGGCGGAAACGGTCTCCCCTCCATCGAACCCTAGACCCAGAGGGCATTTGGTCGACTCGTCCGCGTTGACTCGACGTCGTTGGAAGACCTGCCGATGAAATTACTTTGGTGCACGTCCCACCACCCCCCCCCCCCCCATTCACACTGCTGAGTGGACAGAGGTGGGCACTTGTCAGAAACTTGTCATTGGTGACATCGAACCGGTGACCTCTGGGCTACAAGTTCAGGGTGCTGACCATTAACACCGCTGCGACGGCATCTTCCAGATGGACCGCTGGACATCTGTGATGAAGAGCTTCATAGCTCATCGGATTCTTGCAGTCTAAATAAAGATTCGGATTCAAATATATTACATCTGTACATCAGATGCATGGATATATTATCACTCTTTGAGACGAATACAAAACAAACACGAATTATTATCTGTGCAGGCAAAAACGGTAACTTTTATGCTGTTGTAACTCCGCTCACACTGAAGCTTGTGGATACACCGAGTAACTTGACATGCATGGAAACGACAGCGGCGATTTGAAATATTTTCTGTCAATGTCTATTGTTATTATTATTAAGGTTTATTCCCAGTTTAAAGGTCACGTCATTGTTGCGGGTAAAACGGGTCGGGAAAAAAAGCAATGTTGCGTTCAATTATTTATTTAAAACAAAACAAACGCAGCGCATTTTTTTCCAACATTTCTAATGCCAGTGTTGTACAGAGTACACGTCCGTGAACGGCCATCTATACCAATCCACTGCTGGATGAGTGCCCTCCTCAAGCCGTGTTGGGTTGTGGAGCAGAGGTGGGGGGGAGTTAATCATACTTCACCACGCTGGTTAATAGGGGGAGGGGGGGGGAGGAAGATGTTGACGCATAGAAGTACAGTACAAGTTCACCAGATCTCAGAAGCGAAGCAAGAGTTGAGCCCGGACGACTTCGCTTTGATGGGGGCGACCGCCATGCATACCAGCTGCTATAGGCTCCCACGAAGCCTCGTTGTGGGCAGCAGTTGGCAGTACAGCAACAACCCACGTCTCTGCTCCCCGCCCGCATTCACGAACCCACACTGACCAGCGTGGTGAAGTATGGCGCAAATAACCCACATGACTTTGCGGAGAGGCTCTCATCCAGCAGCCGATGGGGTACAAGGTACTGTCAGTTGCACCGCCTAAGCGTGAAATATCTGAGGGTTGTTCCCCCTTGGAAACATAACACACGAAATAAAAACTCGATAACCCACAAATACCCACGGGGGGGCCAGAAATAAGTTGTGGGTTTGGTTGCGAGTCTCTGGATCGTGACTGAAAACAAACTCACGACCGTCATCACCGCTAACGAGACTGCAGCGGAAATTAAGAATGCCACAACTGTTGTGCCCCCCCCCCCCCCCCCCCGTGTCAATGAAGTTATACAAATTAAATTTCGATTTAAAGCTTTCGTGACTGCAGGGATTCATCTTCTTGGTTCTTTCGCTAAAGTCACGTAGAATGGAAATAATAAAATAAATAAAATAAAAAAATAATTCTCACGACGTTTCGGCCACGGCTGCTTGCTGTTGTGGCCGAAACGTCGTGAGAATTATTTTATTATGTTTTATTTTTATTATTTTATTATTTCCATTCTACGTGACTTTACCGAAAGAACCAAGAAGATTACACATACTATATACAAAGCCCAGTGTCAAGTCCAGTTGTCCTTCCCCCGCACCTCCGATTACGCACGGTTGGCTACGTACGGTGCGAAAGAAGTTCAACGAACAAACGTGGCCACACGCACACAACTTCCCGGATTATAAGACGCAGCCCCCCCCCCCCCACAATTGTTTTTACTTTCACATACAGGGGCAGGTGGCGGGGGCATTATAATTCGAAGTTTATTGTGTGGCCATCTGTGGCTTCGTATGATACCATAACAATCTATGGCAAATGGATTGTAAAGTTTACCAATGAAGATAGCCGGCAAAAACGGGGCGAGGGGGGGGGGGTGATCTTTCAAAATATTTATATTTGCGGGTTATCAAGCCTTTCCAGAAATCCTCACTTGTTATACTGCTGAGCCGTACATGCTTACTGTGAGAATACTAATAATGATGATGATGATAATGTCATCGTCGTAACGCCCCGCTCACTCTCACAGCGATGGGGGGACGATTCAAGAGGAGCGGGGAAGGAATCACGGACGAGTGGGAAAAGGCAACAGAAGCAGACACGCACGCGGCGAGCCGGTGGAAACAACAACTGGCCAAGCTCTGCGGTCCTCTAAACGTCGAGCTGTACCGCCGTCTAAGAAAAACAATAGACGTCAACAGCTCCGCTTCGTCTCGTCTCGTCGTTTTCTCGCGATCCGATAAACAACTCCGCAAAGGCACATCTCTCAACGCCCGAGGGGGAGATGAGGGTTCGGACGGGGAGTCTTTGTACACACGAGTTCGTGGTCATAGCCAGCTGTGCGTGACCGCCGAGAAAACTCACTCGGGCACGCAATTGCCACGGTAAACGCAAGGAAATGTAATATTACAACACAGAGAGACAAAGATCCCCCCCCCCCCCGTGTAGCCGCAACAGTGCAACAATTGCATCTTCTCCTTTTTAATGATTTGTCCAACGACAGATCTCTGGATCAACCTCCATCCACTCGGAGCAATCCGATGCTTTCTTCTTCTTCACTTGACTGAAACTACCTGGATTCAATTACCAATAGTGCTCATCGTCAGTGGCACGTAGCATCTGAGCCTGTTCCCGTGCTGCCCCCTACACAAAGGTCCCCCGTATAGCCTGTAACAGGCTAGTTGGGGCAAGTGCTGTCAGCGAGTGACTATGAAAGCCGGCACAGGTACACGAGGGGGTGGGTGGGCCAGCACCACGCCCGGCCGCCTTTGCCTCACCAGTGGCGAAGCTCAAACACCGCATCAGGTACTCATTTTAGGCTGAGTCGACCTAGGGGAGGCCCAGGACCGGTTCAGATAATCGTCACTCGGTGTTGGCCGTGAGCGAGAATCGAACCCGGGTCGCCAGGTTCGTAGCGCAGTGCGCTAACCGCTCCACCATCGCACTATGCCACACATACGTGTCCACAAAAGATAAAGATCCCCCGTATAGCCTTAACAGACTGTTGGGGCAAGCGCTGTTAGCGAGCACCTATGAATACACACACACACACACACAAGGACGACCAAACTTGCACGGAGCATCACGTTCAATGGAGAGACGCTCGCTTGGAGTCACGCCGAGAGACAGCGGCGGAGTTAGCGGGGACATCGCACACACGTTCGGGCAGGAACGCGCCGTGGGCACGAGCGGATGATGACGACGACGACGACGACGGCCGGCGGTGAACGCGACAGCTCCAACGGAATGGCAGCTAAAGGAGGGATGATAAAGGCCCGATAGAGAGAGAGTACGCCCATTGTTAAGGAGATGGGAGCGATGCACGGATTTGCCCACGTGGATGGTTTACATTGCGAGAGGATGATACAAGCCGGAGCTCACGGGGTGTATAACCAAGTCGGCGCTCTTCATAGCACGGTTGGCTACGTACGTCGCGAAAGAAGTTCAACGCACGTACCCACACACGCGCGCTTAAATCGTCCAACACGACCGTCGCACCGATACAATTTACTTTCACTTTTCAACAATTATTCGTTTACAACCCCACTCCTGTTTGTCCCCCTTCACTGTGCACCCGTCAACGTGACTCTTCAAGGTGAACTCGGTCCACAGTGACCCCCCCTTACTTTTGATGCACTCACTCTCACGCAACAACGCGTACGGGCATACGCGCAGTACTTACGAATACTCATGATGCAACACGTTTATAAGAACTCCAGGCCTTGCGACCCCCCCCTACCCACCAAGGTTCGCCTCTGCGAGCTTACCAACTTTGCGCATGCTACACGCGCCTGATGCTTGCTAAACACAGGCGATAATTAGAAATCAGCCCCCCTCTCTCTGTACGCACCACATGCAGCGTGTTGAGTAATCATCGGGCAAGTGGAGCGTGTCATTATTTACTTTGTATTTCAAATCTCAGTTTTGGAACCTCGCGCCAAAACATAACGGGCAGATTTGCGAGCAAAAGAACATTTTTCTTTTCCAAACTTGGACTTTTATTTATTTAAAGTTAATTATTTGGCGATGCCGCGTTTGCAGTGGCGCACAAGCACAACAAACAACAAAATGTCTCCACGCGTTCGTCGATAACACCGTGGCTTCAATAGGGAAAAAAATATTTACAGGCAAAATTGAATGGCCCTTGCCCAAAACATCACCTGTTATAAATATTTTTGTCTATTTAAGGCCACGGTGTTATTGACGACGGTGTTGAGGTTTGGGTTTTATTACAATGTGGCTGGGCAGTGTTGTCACATACAGGGAATACAATCAACTCAACACTATGTAGGGTGATGAGGACGTGGAGTGGCTCAGATAAAACAGAAACAGCGGGTTGTACAAAACGCGTGTGAATGAATCCAAAGGTGGCGGGTTTGATTTCCCGATGCGGCAGTGTGAAACGAGTTGTGTGGGTTTCTTAAACCCACACAACTTGTTTCTTAAACCCACACACTCACCAACCACCCCACCACCAACCACCCACCCAACTACCATCCAACCCACCCACCACCCACCCACCCAACTACCATCCAACCCACCCACCAACCAACCACCCAACTACCATCCAACCCACCCACCGACCACCATCCAACCCACCACCAACCAACCACCCAACTACCATCCAACCCACCACCAACCACCATCCAACCCACCACCAACCAACCCACCACCAACCAAACCACCCACCCCCCACCCACTCAACTACTAACCCATCCACCCACTCCAACCTTTGCTCACCCAGCAGCAACTGTTGATCGGCAGGTCGCGTGAGGTGCGGTAAAGCGTGTGGGTAATGTCACCCCTTCTGGAAACGTCCTGCCAGTGTGGACGAGTAGGCCCAAATAGCCTTGTACGGAGGGAGCTCTCTCTCTCTCTCGTTAATAGCGGAGACCCTTCTGCCAGCAGAGGCGTGAGCAAGCAATTGCGGGGGCTGAGCCTTTGCTTTAAAAAAAAAGGAAAATTCTTACTTGGAGACACAAAAATCGCACGATGAGAAACTTGGCAGCGATGCTAAGACAAACAGCTTTGGGGGGGGGGGGGGGGAAGTTGGGACGGGATGTGACCGGTGATTATGGCCGTTAAGCTATTTTCCCCACCTGTCTTTCCAAAGTGGCCCGCGTCTGCCAAACACAACAACGGGCCAGCCAGACTCCCCGGCCACTCTGCGACACAAACGATTCATATTTGTGTCGCTTCTTCGTTTCAATAAAATTCCATTTGCCAATGTGCGATGGTGGCGATAGGGGGGAATCCTGCCTTCGTTACGACACCCCCCCTCCCCCCCGCACTGGGAGGTGGACATTGGTTGTGATTCACTCTGCTCATGTTTTTGTTCTTTCCCCCCCACCACCGCAAGCGACAAGGGAAAGGTGCAGGCCCTGCAATGTCATACGCAAGCCACTGCTGGTAGAAGAGCATCAACTCGAGATATCCGAGGGAGGGGTGGGGGCGATTTGGCTTACTCTTCCACATTTGCAAGACATCTTCGATGAGGTAGGAGTTACCCAAATTTGACCCCACCACACCACGAGCGAACCTGCCGATTGCATTGCTGCGGCGTTACCCATCGGACACCGCTGCGTGGGCAGAGGCGGAGGTGGGATTGAAGAAACTCGCGCGAACGTCTTCAACTGCAACGCCAGGAGGATGAATCAAGCCGGTGGGACCCTCTGGGATTTCAATTCCAGTGTGCTGACCCCATTAACATCTCCACAAGCAGCATGCCAATCAGAAATTAATTGTCTCGTCGTGTGATTGAATCGTATTTCTTGAACAAAAAAAAAACCCTGGCGATTGGTTTCGGGTTACTTCCATTGCGCTACCATCAGCACCAAAGCCTTTTAAACGCCAAACCACGAACGGACTTCAAAGTATACACACTTCAACCGGCATGCTTATTCTAAAGTTAACGACAGATGGAAAACAAACATCTTGAACGGGTAAGGTCAAATAAATTATGTGGAAAGCATCATGCAACGTTTTTGTTTGTTTGTAATACGCATATAAATTAACAACACCACAATACGTAAAAAAATACGCGTGTAATTTAAAAACCAACATGCTCGCAACACTTACACGGTTTGCAAATGAGGTTAAGGGTCATTGATAAACGTAATAATACCATGCGCGCGTGCGTAAACACGCGTTTGAACACTTCCTCCAGCTGCGGAGGTATTTGAAAAAGCCGGAAGAAAAATTGCATGCAGGCCACAAACAAATTATATATGAACACAAAACACGCGCCCCGCAAAGACTTCCAAAATAGCAAAGCAATAGGAGGAACACCCAGCATGCTTTGCATATCGAGATGACGCCACCGTACAACTGTGGTGACGCACGGCTATCTCCGATGCGATTCTCTCCGGCTGCACCGCGCGATGTACCGACGTTTCACTGGGCGTGCTGCAGCCTTCCGCAGGTGGTAACAGCCAGAAAAAACATTGCAGAGCTGCGACATCGGCAATTGTTTTGGGCACAATTCTGCACACGAGACGCAGTTTGCCTACGTTCGCGTGCTGCACACGTGGTGGCTTCAGTAAATGTTGTACGCGCTAACCGTGAACGTGACGTTAAGTCAACCCATGCTCCCTGCATTAGCATGCTGTCATTGTCCACCGGTGCTGCTGTGTGTGTATGTATATCTAAGTATCGGTTCGCGTTTTTTCAGAAAAAAAAATTTCTTTCAAAATGTAACCTTGCTTCGTTTGAGTCGATTTCCCATTCCAAAAGACGACATTGAACGCGAATTTCTAATCGCATTTTTGAGTTTCACAATCGCACGCTACACAGTTTTCCTTACCCACACCCCCAACTCTCCACTCAATTCGTGCACGTTCCACGCGGTGTTGCACTCTTCAAAGCGAGCCTCGCGTTTCGCACGTCCAGACTCGCAACGACCCCCAGACAAGATTGAAAAACTCATCGCCTTCGAACTGCTGTCTAGATTGTTGTTCGTTCCCCGCTCCCCCACCTCGAATGATCGCAGTTGGCTACGTACGGTGCGAAAGAAGTTAAACATACACACATATACATACGATGCCCAGCTCACACTTCGATTGCCACGTGGGCCTAAAGGCCCCCCCCACACCCCCCGCCAGTGGCGTAGCTATCGAGTGTGCAGGCGGTGCACCTGCGCTGTGGAACCCACGGCCCACAGAGAGCCAGCCCCCTCCCACCCCACAGGCAAGATCAAAAGTAAGACCACCACTCGCTCAGCCACCGACCATGATGGAGGTGGACGTGAACGGATGGAGGTGGACGTGAACGGATGGCGTCGTCCTTTTGATCGAGAGGCTACTGGTAACCAACCACCTGATTAGTAACCAGGGCCGGATTATCCGAGTAGCAAAAGTAACATATGCTACGGGCCCCGCGCTAAATGCTTTCAAGCCATCAATTCCGGTTCAGTGATTCTGCACTTGCTCTATTACTATAGCACTGTACCGCCTTCAACTTTTAAGAACGACTGGTTGTTTAAGGTTGGTGATTTGTCGTATTATCCATCCGGCTGTATAGCAAATTAATTACTTCACCGTGCAAGTTAAACATTTGTGTTTTAACATTTGTTTTAGGCCCCTTTATAAGATATGCAACAGGCCCCGCGTACTAGCTTAATCCGGCACTGGGGGGGGGGGGGGGGTTGCGAAGCCCAGGGGGGAAAAAAAATCACATCGTGCCCCCCCCCCCACACCCGACGCCTTCAAACCAAACCGAATATTATGACATCTGACACCGTGACGTCGAAGGGCGGGGCGGGCCGCCCCCCACCCCCCGCCAAAGCGCGGGGCCCGGGGCGGTCGCCCCGATTCGCTGTGTTACCCCAGGGGACGGCTCTGTTCGTACAGATTTGTTAAAAAAGAAACGGCCAACACGAGCGAACTGCTTGACAACTCCACTCGTTTCGAACGCACAAGTCGCCGTTACTGGTCGCGTGAAAGCGCACTGGCGTGACTAAAGTCAGAGGCAGCGGTGCCTACGAACGAAGCATCTGGTCTGGGCTCGTGGACAATCCCATTGCACGTGGACCTCTTGTGACGAGGGATAAGGGGATGAGCTATGGATTACATTTATTTGTGCATATACGGATTTATTTTTAGGGCCAATTTTTATACATCTTTTTCATTTTAAAGGTCACGTTTTTCTAAAATGTTCATTATTTATACACCAAACACAACCATTCGAATCACTTTCAATGTTAATCGTAGAATGCTATCATCAGTTGCTCGAGTGCAAAAAAAATGTCAACGTAAACATTTTAATATTTATATTGTAAAGCACAAGTGAAGCATGACTGTACCTTTAATGGGGAAAACACGGTGACGTCACACAAGTGACGCCACGCGTTGTGACGTCACTTATTGTGACGTCACACTTTCAGACAAATATGATAAGACAGCAAAACAATTTGGATCATGCAAAACTTCGCACATCGGGGTCAAATTTGGGGATTTTTTTCGGATTAAGCGACAAATCACCTCTAGGGTTTAATCGTGTTCGAATAAATAATGTTAAGATAGATTACGTTTGCAGCTAACACCAATATTTCTCAACTAATACGAATGTGCAGCCCTTGAACGGCGTGTCTGCTTGGACCGAACAAGCACGGTGAACGATCAGCCTTGCCGCTGTTGCTTTACGATGGGACATGTTGGACTGTACACTTATGCCCGTACGTCTATGCTCCCTGCCTTTCCCAATCTCAGCGAGAGTGGCCATGATATGGCGAATCAACGAACCCAAAACGACCCCCCTCCCCCCACGTCGCGCCAAGGGGCACCTCGTCGTCCAGGCGGCAGATTGACGAGTGGACCCGCCGTGACATCGAAGCAGAGCTTCCGCGTGGTCGACAGCACACGAGCAAGCCGAGACGTCAGTCAAGGCAATTACTTTGGTGAAACGCATATACAGGGTGACCCAAAAAAAACGGGCCCCGTGCACACGGGGCCTATTAGAGTTGGGGCCCGTTTATTTTGGGTCACCCTGTATTTAGAGACGGTGTCACGGAAAGAATAACGGCAAAACAACAATAACACTTAAATAACGGACTTGCAACTGCGCAAGTTTTTTGTTTTCACGGTCGAGCTTGTATACGACTGTCAGACGAGTTTGTTTGTTTCGAGTCGTGCCGCGTGCTGTCCGACGTTTCGCTCCAAACGGCTTATGCAGCTTTTTTTTAATGCATCAGCTCCCGGGAAGAAGCTCTCGGCACCAAAAGTCCACCGACATGCACAGCGGTAGAACCCGTAAAACGCATCTCAAGATAACTCAAAACGCCTGCCCACAATGAAGGCGTGTGGACACTATGAAATGTCATGGATTCACATCAAACTTATATTTAATAATGCCCCAAGTGGGGGGCTAACAGTAACTGGGTAACAGAGAAGCACCTTGATCCAATTCTGGGTCCTTCTGTAACTGAAGCACAATTTACGCAAATGACTCGGGATTGACCTGTCATGAATCTACAATCAATATACAATCAGGGTTCACTCAACGCTGTCAACATTTCAAAAATTAAATGTTGTCTTCCCCCCCCCTCTCCCCTAGTGCGCCTTCCAATTGTTCCTCCATCGACGTTGCGGTCCTGGAACAAAAGATGTTCCCCACTCGGAACTCACGCGGCGAGCAGTGGAGGACCACCTCGTTAAGACGACCTCGGAATTACTGATGACCACGCTTCAACAAACCGCTTTATCCAGACCTCCCCCAGCCGCACAACTTTAATACGTGCCCCACAAAGAGTGCTCATCGAGTGTCAAATCAACATTTCTTGTATCTTGGAACGGAGACAAATGAAGCGTGTAAAAATACATTTAAAAAAAACTTAATGCAATGGGGGTTCATTGTGCAGCCAACGGCGACTGAGACCATCGACCCCGCTACGCTTGAGAGCCTGGATTCGAACCCAGCTTCCCAGCAGTAGCGGCTCAGTCTCTCTGACCAACCGAGTCATCCGGCCACCTTATTTTACCTTTCCAATTTACGAACCCTCAAAAAATTCACGTAGGAACCGCACCCGGATGGGAGGGGGGGGGACACACACACCACGAGAACTATTTTATTTTTCTTCTTTCTATCGCGCATTCATCTTAAGTGCATTCACCACCTGGAATCCTATGGCTTTTACTGTTCGTGGGGGGACGCGAGCTGAAACGTTCACTCAATAAAACCGACAACGCGACCCACTCGGCTGTTCGACCAAGGCGGGTCGCCGAGGTCTCAAATCCAAGGTACTCAGGCCGGTGCCGGACTCAGAGGTGTCCCAACGCCGAGGCGACGTTTCCAACGCAAAACCCGTTGGCGAATTGCAGCAGAACTCCTCTCTCTCAACCGCGACCCGCCGATTGCCCCCCAAACTCCCGTTATCCGCGGGAGCTGTGGGACCCGCAAAAAAACCCTCCTATTCTCTGCGGGATCCTATCCTTCCTGTTATCCACAATCATCGATCACTGCAATGGTGCGCCCTCTTGCAGCACCGGTTGTGAATGAGGTGTGCTCAACGTGTGTGTGTGTGTGCGTGTGTGTGAAAATGTACAGTTTGCTCGCCAAAAATAAGTGAAATTTCCTATCCGGCCCTAGGTAAGGAAAAGGTTCTCTCCACCACTCGTCTAAGGTATTTCTGCTTGGCGCATCTATTTCTGTTCAACCAGATATAGATTCACGGGGCTAAACACTTTCAATGGACACACAGCCACAGACATAAGCGCCAACAGCGACTTTTCCAAATGATGCTACTTAAACTCAATGAAATAAACACGTATCTCATTCACAGAACTCTCAAGCCTTAGCGTATCGAGACAGTTCACCTAAATTCTACAGTGTGGACTAGTTACGAATTTTTGTCGAATTTGGCACTGGTACGTAACTACCTACTCTAGCGAACAATGCCAAAGGTCTTTTGTTTGATTTTCTCGTTTTTCCGCGTGACTTACAGTGCATTCACCGGTGGCTGTCGCGACTTGGCAGTAGTAGCATTTGAAAAAAAACACCAACCAAAAACCACAGGGTTTGTACTGCGAAGGATTTCGCGGTTGTGTTGCGCAGATCTCCCGCACGTTTCGTCGGTTGCATATGCCAACGCGTTGTTTCGCCAGAATCCGACGTTTTCGCTCGACGTCGTTTAGAAACAGCGGGAGGAGGCGAACCAACTCGCATGCGTTTCGGTCTTCCGGGAAGAAGCGGATCGTCGGGACGTCGTCTCCAAAACAACACGCTTAGCGAACCGCGGAGCGCACACCCGGCGAGCCAAAGCAAAACACTGCAACAACGGGCGATTGGTAAGCACGTAACGATTCTCCACCGCCAGTTGGTGGGTTCGAACCAACTCTGGTGATTGAGAGCGGTCATTCGAATCAATACTCGATTCTTGTTTTTTTTCCTTAATTTTTGGCGCCTCATTTTGTATCGTCGTTCATCGACGTGTCCCCCCCCCCCCCTCCACGTACGCCATTAGAAAGCGGAACGCGCGCGCTGTTAGAACGCCTAACGAGCGCGCCATTATAACGCAAAACGTGCGCCGTTATAGCACAAAATGCGCGCCGTTATAACGCGGAAGGCGCACCGTTATAGCGCGTAACGGACACCGTTATAACGCGATTTCGGAGCGGTTGACGACGAACTACTTTCACGAGCTGCGCGGCTGAGCAGTGCGATACAGTAGGTGGAGTGATGCGCACCCTCAGTGATTTGTTTCGCAAACCTCACTGCATGGTGTGCGTACGTCGTAGCTCGCCAAACTCTGTCGTCGCATTATTTACGGGGAAATTGTTTTCGCTTAACGCGGTACTTATCAGAAACGCATCTACCACCGCGTTAAAACGAGGACGTCCCGGAATTCAATCTCAAGCTCACGACGACCAGACACGCGAAATGGTGATTGCAAGAAATTATTTCTAAATCCAGCAGAGCTTTTTTTGTGGAAATGGATGACGGAAAACCCTTTCACAACTGGGGAATCGAGTAAACCGGTTTGAAAACAAATAAGACCCGTGGCTTAGGGCTGTTTGGAAGAGCAGCCCTCTCTTCGTGCGTTGTTAAATCTGATTGCGTTGGAATACCTTTCAACCGACGAACATGCAATCGTTAAACGCCAACCGCTCGTACCACGGAAATGAAATAAATATTCAGAGAACGAAAAACAAAACAAACAAAATTGACCGCCAGGGAGGAAGTATTAGGAGACGTCCATGCTCTCGTCAGCCGATTTATCAGCCTGCCCGGTTGCTGGGGGCTCCGCTTCCAGAGTCTCCACGTCGCTGAGACTCGCGGGTGAGACGCTCTCAGCTGTGCTCGCTCCATCTCTGTCCGTCCCTTCCTGCGGAACCACCGGATCTCCCTCCGGAAGGGAGACGAATCCAGGACTCGCCTCCTCGGAGGCAGGATGATCATCATCAGCAGTAGCATCATCAGCGGCGGTGGTGGCAGCAACATGTGGTAGCTCCTCTTCAGCGACCTCCACGTCTGCACAAGCAAACAGGAGGGATGGATTGAAATGTTGCTGCGGATTTCCCTTATGCTTCGGATTGCATCAGGCTAGGTGCATCTGTGAGGTTTATGTGAAGTTTTCCACAAGAAGTGACTAATCCCATACCTGCATTTCCCATAAATATGCTAAATTCCTCTTGATATGCAAATTCCTTTGCCAAGGCGCTCTTCCCCCACCAACCCAGCTTAAATATACGCTGCCAAGCGTGGTGGTGTTCATTCAGACTCTTTCCGACAGACGTGTTCTTCACCTGAGGACGGCTGCTTGCGTTATGGCCGAAACGTCGTGAGAATTATTTTATTATGTTTTATTTTTATTATTTTATTATTTCCCTTCTACGTGACTTTACCGAAAGAACCAAGAAGATGAATCCCTGCAGTCACGAAAGCTTTAAATCGAAATTAAGTGAAGTTGTGGAAGACTCGCCGGTAGGAGGGTCACGAGATTGCACACACAAAGACAAAGATCCCGCCCCGTATAGCCTTAACAGACTTTTGGGGCAAGTGCTATTCGCGAGTAGCACCTGTGAAGGCTGACACAGCACACGAGGGAGTGGGTGGCCAGCACCACGCCCGTATACTCACTCACATATACACACAGACTTGCACACAGGAAGACATACTCGCGCAGACACGTACAGACACACACCAGCAGCCGTTCACCAAAAAGTGGCAATGGCATCACTACATCGCGAGGCCACTTCATGCAAGTCACACCGGCAGGAGGTTACAGGACTTGAGATGGCTGGCACATGCACCACCAGCGCTCGACACGGTGTCAACATTTAGCAGCCCGGCGCGCTGCTCGTTGTTGTGGGCATCGCTCCGCCGCCCGTCACTGATGTTGGAGGGCGACTGCCTCAAACTGCCCAGTCGGGTCCCTTCACGAGCCTCCTCCAGAGAGGTCGATCTTGACATCGCTGGGAATGGGTGCACTCAGCTCCACATCCTCCCATACCACATCAGCCGATACCAATACCCGCCGACGTCACCACGGCGCCAGTGCCAGGCCAGGTGCACTTTGAGGCCACATTAAAGTGTCGAAGGCTCGCTGGCAGGTCACAGGATAGACCCACGCAGATGCACCCACACACCCACATGGACACACCACGACAACGACAACCAGCGCACGCGCTCACTAACTCACCGGACGCTGCATCGCCCACTGCTGGGGCCGCCTTATCGCCGTCTGCTCCGGCCGCGGTTGGGGCAGGCCCTGCGGCGGTGGCGGCGGCGGTGTTGAAGCCGGGGCGAGATTGTGGCTGGGCCTGGGCCCCTGAGTCCCCGAAGCGTGGGGCGATGGGCCGCGTTCGCCGCGCGGGGTTCAGCGAGAAGCAGTAGGCGCAGCGGTATGCTGCTGGGGACGAGACACGCGCCTGTGTGTCATCGCCTACAGCTGGGACGATTGGTCAACTTGGTCGATCGACAGCCAGACGAGCACATGTCAGTGTGTAACCAAGCGACCCGAGTTCGATTACCGCTCACAGCCACCAACACCAGTGACGATTATCTGAACCGGTCCTGGGCCTCCCCCCCTCGTGTGCCATGCCGGCCTTCATAGGTGCTCGCTAACGACACTTTCCCCAACAGTCTGTTAAAGGCTATATGGGGGATCTTTGTCTTTGTATGCGAGTGTGTGTGTCTGTCCCGTGCCCTTCTGTCAGAAAATCTTCGATATTTCATGTGGCCTCAAAGCGCGTGGTGATGTCACCGTCACTTAGTGGTGAATAGCGGGTGTTGTTGTTGTGTGTCAGTGTGTGTCAGTGTGTGCATGTGTCAATGGTGGGGGGCGGTAGTGCAGGAGTTAGCGCACTGGCGCCACGAACCCAGCGACCCGAGGTCGATTCCCGCTCATGGCCACCACCAACACGAGTGACGATTATCTGAACCGGTCCTGGGCCTTCTCCCCTAGCTTGACTCGGCTTAAAATGAGTAGCTCAGATATTCGGCACCGATGTTGGCTGTGAGCGGTAATTGAACTCGGCAAGCCAGGTTCGTATTCCCGGCGCGCTAACCTCTGCGCCCCCACTCCCCACGTCACACAGACACACATGGGCTGACGATGAGGCCACACAGGAGGCCCACACAGAAGGCAAGCATAAACAATACTATTGGTAATTCGAGGGGCACCTGTTGGGGAAACCCACCTATGTATTCGAATTCTTCTCGCAACGCCATCCCGTTGTGGGAAAAGCACTGCTGGCAGATGAGAGCATACCTGGGGTACCAGACAGTAAACACACACACACACACGGCGATTCAAACTAAACAGTGAATGGAATCAATGTTAGAAACGTTCAATATCTGCCGTTCATATAACCGGGCACGTCGTTAACGATCCATTCATTTATTGAAACGATTGCTTTTTAATGACAAATACCCCTAAAGAAAATTTTAAATGTGATGCACACGCCGACGATACAGGACATAGAACTGCCGCTCCGCATACGTTAGAGTCAACGACTTGCAATGCCTAGAAATCTCACGCTAATGTTACACTCGGGACTTCCAATGAGACCAGAACTAGTCACATGTTGAGTTGTACAGCGATACCGCCGTTTACGTCAGGGGGGGGGATGCGTTCCTCAAAGATGCGAGGACGAATATCGAAATGTAACAAAATAATTGAGAAACTTTTATTTTATTTTACCAGGTAAGGCCCACTGAGCTACACAGCTCTTTTCAGAAGCTACCCTGACCACATGGACATTTTTAGCAGTAGCCAAATACTTTAAGCGCATGTTTCTAAATGTGGAGGGGAAAAAACGGAGGACGCGGACAAAAATCCACGTGACCACAGGGAGAGAGCGGGAGAGACAAACATGCAAACTCCAAATATACAGGCGTCAGGGTACGGATCGAATTCACGACCCATGACCTCCTGGATACGAGACGAGGAAGCTAACATCTCGCCACCGTGGCGCCCTACAGGATAGGTGGTGGAGGCGAAGGTGGAGAGGCTACGGATACGGGAAAGGACGGACGACGCTGTCAGCGACGTAAACGTGCGTGGGTCGAGCCGACGGAACATAGGGTAGCGGTATTCATAAATTAACGACGTATTTGCAAAACGACGTAAATCGGGGCCTTTCGCCGTGTTGCATGGGGTGTGGGGAAGCGGGCGAGGGGGGTGGCAGGTAAATGGTAAACACACCACGTGCTTACAATATGACACACGCATTCCGGCCACGCAGTGTTATTGGGGGAGGGAATGCCACAATGTTAACTGCGATGTGTTTTCGTCAGCTGTTGGGGACTTCTTTAAACACGGTTTATGACCCCAATTGTTTTATGAAGGCTTTTAGGGCTGTGTCAGTTCCTCATTTTCATGAAGGGTTGTCCTGCGCAAACAGCCTGAAGTATTATCATGGACTGGAGTGTACACGCAGCACTATAATACTCTGCAACAATACCACTGCAGTAATAATATCGATGTCCTATATCCGTCCAGGAAATCCTCACCGAGTCTCAAGAGGGGGAGACAAGACACAGACAGATGAACAGCCATACATACAGATAGAGGGGCAATGCAGATAGTCAGACAGGCAGACGGATGGGCAGACGGACAGATCGAAATACGCACCGAAAAAATAACTGACAGAAATAAAAGGCAGATATAATCAGACAGGGAGACGGATGGGCAGACAAACAGCCAGACATACCGACAGAGAAACGGGGCACAGGCAGAAAGACAAACAGACGAATGGACAAACAGATAAACAGGCGTGCACACAGCGGGACGGTGAGAGGGAAAGACAGAGGGACAGACAGAGGGACACGGGTAATGCATGAAGACGTTGGGCCTCTGTGGGAGAGTACGACGAGCCCTCACCGGTTCTGAGGGCCATCGCCCACCAGGTACTCGATAACGCGGTCGGCAACGCCGCGCTCCCGCGGCAGCACGGGCCTGGGGAGGGGAGGCCCGGGCGGGTGCATACCTACACGTCCGCACGCCCACACACCCACACACACGCGCGCACGTACACGCGTTCAGCGAAAACAATTTCCCCATAACTAATGGAGCAACGATTACGTTTTGTGAGTTACAATGTCGTTACACACAGGAAGATGGCAGCAGAAATAACCATCGGTACGTCGCCGCGTTGCTGCATCACTGTAACGCTCAACCGCGCAGCTCAAGGAAGTACAGTAGCTCATCGGTTATCCGGCAGGTTCGGGGGGGAAGGGGGCGCCGGATTTTCCAAAACGTCGGATAATCACATAAACTATTAAAAATAGCTCATTTTTGCACATTCTTGCATGTTTTAGGTGTTGTGTATGTTTTTGAGTGTTTAAGATTAGTTTACTATAGCAAATTGGTATCAACATACAAATAGACAAAAATAAATGATACTGTAAAAAGTTACTGTATTCACTGTGCCTACCACTTAAATCGCAAAGAGTCTGCATGGGGTGATGGAGGTACAACTACACTCCTGTTCATCGCCGGACTGGTACAGCCTTTGGAGCGGTTTTGCCGGATCAGCAGGAGACTGCCGGATGTTGGAAGCCGAATAATCGTGCGGCGCCGGATAATCGGTGATCAACTGTAGCTCGCTGTCCACCGCTCAGAAACCGCGTGATAACAGTGCGTGCGTTCTGCGGAAAAGTGTTCCCCAACGGAAGCACTGGCCTCGTCGCGGAAAAAGCGTCGCAGTGCAAACGCCGACGCATTGAGTGAGGACTTGGTGGCGTTCAAACCAAGCAGAGCATCATGCGAACCAACGGGGCATCAAACCCGAGCCTTACCAAGGTGGGGGGGCGGAAAGAAACCCGCGTGTGCGGCAGCAGTGGTGGCGGCAACATGGCCGCTGGGTCTTCGCGCAAGAGTCCCCGACGCGCCCCCCACCCCCGCCAGCAACCCCTTTTCCGGGGGGCCCCCGGGGGCAGTCCCAGGACCCCCGGGAGTGCTCGGCACGCTGGGGCTCCCCCCTCTGCCCGCCGGTGGGGGTCCCGGGGGGCCTCTGCCGGGGGTCTGCATTGGGGGGCCGGAGTGAGGTCCGAGCGGAGACGATACCGCGGGGGGGTCGTTGACGCCCCGCTGCGACGGCGTGCGCTGACGCAGCTCTGGACACGCGGAGACGAGATAGCGTCATAGAGGTTCGGAACCTTCGACTCGAAAAAACGTTAACGCCCCGTCTTTTTTTTTTTGCAGTCATTAGTGACCAAGTTACAGACGATCATCAACCCAGTTTAACCGTGGGCAGCCGAAACCCGGATTTAGACGCGGGATCTCAACAGCGTTAATCATCCCTTGCACAAACAATATGAACCCCACCCACAACCCCCACTCATATGCAACCCGGGGTGGAGTCGTGGCACAGGGGCTAACACGGCGCACGACAAACCTGCCAGTACGAATTCAACTCCCGTCCAGTGTTTGAACCTGGGGTCTCAGCAGTTGCTGGCTTGATAGACAATAACAACACCCCCCACAAAATCCACATGCTCCCCGATAAACAAGCACATTTTAAGACTCTCGCACAACACACACCTTGCCCGACTGACGCTGCGGCGATGGCAGCTTGCTCCAGCTCCTAAAACGACATCAAGTCATGAGTTATTACCGATTCCTAATGCGACGGGGATACAGTAAAACAAATAGAACATGGGGCCCTGCCATTAAGCCCATGGCATCCGGAGAACACTGCCCACAATTGGCTTAGCATTGGCGCTGTTTGCGTAAATCACATATATATTTTAACGGGAGTATAGTCTTTTCATTTTAAAGAGAGCCATTTTTTTTTTCACAGAACGTAGCATTTGAACGTTTCGTACAATCGGCTTAGTATAGGTGTTGTATGTGGGATTCGCAATATATAATATATTTAACGAGAATATAGTATTTTGCTTTAAGAGAGGGCCCCCCCCCCCCCACTTTTACGGGCACAGCCATCGGAATGTGCGCCGTGTAACGGGAATGGTTTGAGAAACCTTTGCCTTCTTCGCCTCCGAATCGAATCTCTCGAGGATTTCCTTCGCCGTCTTGTAGGTCTCCTTCTCCATCACCTCCTCGAGCTGTGCCAAGGGAGGGAGGGGGAGGGAGGGGGAGGGAGGGGGAGGGAGGGGGAGGGAGGAGGGGGAGGAGGGGAGGGGGGAGGGAGGGGGAGGGAGGAGGGGGAGGGAGGGGGAGGGAGGGAGGAGGGAGGGGGAGGAGGGAGGGGGAGGGAGGGGGAGGGGGAGGGAGGGAGGGGGAGGGGGAGGGAGGGAGGGGAGGGGGAGGGAGGGAGGGAGGGGAGGGGGAGGGAGGGAGGGGGAGGGAGGGAGGGGGAGGGAGGGAGGGGAGGGAGGGAGGGGGAGGGGGAGGGGAGGGGAGGGAGGGGGAGGGAGGGAGGGGGAGGGAGGGGGAGGGAGGGGGAGGGAGGGGAGGGAGGGAGGGGGAGGGAGGGGGAGGGAGGGGGAGGGAGGGAGGGGAGGGAGGGGGAGGGAGGAGGGAGGGAGGGAGGGAGGGGAGGGAGGGGAGGGAGGGATCAGCACCGCCACCGCCGTTGGAGCCGCGACTCCCCGTCTCCAGTGAAGACACTTCTTTATTAGAGTTGATCAAAACATTTAAGGGAAAAAAAAAATTTACCCGGTGAAATTTGAATTTGCTGCTGCTGCTGCAAAAAAAACGTTTAACCCGCCGGGTGCGTATTGAGCCTGGTCGAAAATCGTGTTTTCGTATTAAATACGGGCTCAGTTTAACATGTAGGCTTTCGCGACCAATATTATCTACAATAGTTTTTTATGGGTTATATTTCTTAAATATAAAATATGCCAATTAGTTACTAGTTCAACGAATTGTCATGTTTTGGTTAGGTGACAAACCTTACTAATTGGCTGTGTCGGGTGGTGGCGGGTTTAACGACATATTTTTAAATTTCGATTTAAAGCTTTTGTGACTGCAGGGATTCATCTTCTTGGTTCTTTCGGTAAAGTCACGTAGAAGGGAAGTAATACAATAATAAAAATAAAACATAATAAAATAATTCTCACGACGTTTCGGTCACAACGCAAGCAGCCGTCCTCACCTGAGGACGGCTGCTTGCGTTCTACGTGACTTTACCGAAAGAACCAAGAAGACATTTTTATTTACGTGATCCAACCCAAAAAAACCTCTAATATGGGTTCAGCCGGGAGTGGTGGCGCCTTGGTTAGCGCACCCGTCACGGACCACGGCAACCTCCGTTTGATTCCCACGGTTGACGCGAGAGCGAAGATACAGCGATTTGTGGAAAGGGAGTGCGACGATGGGGGGAGAGTGAGTGGGGGGCATGTGAGGGCGCGGGGAGTGGTGGGGCCAGTAGTCAGCAGCGCTACCAACCCGGCGGGCGACCCGAGTTTGATTCCTGCTCATGGCCACAAAGTCACGATTGTCTCAACTGGTCGTGGGCTTCCCTGAGGTCGACTCAGCCTCAAATGCGTACTTTGTGCGGCGTGTAAACATTGTCACCGGAGAGACAAAGGCGGTCGGGCGTGGGGTTGGCCACACACCCACCTCGTGTGCCGTGCCGACCTTCATCGGTGCTCGCAAACAGCACTTGCCCCAAAAGTCGGTTAAGGGGCAATACACGGGGGATCTTTGTCTTTGTTGCCTGCCAAATGTTATTAAGCATCCTACTCTGGCCGTGGTTAAGGAAAAGCACCCCCCCCCCCACCCGCCTGCCTCCCCCGCCCGCGATGTACAGAAACAATTCGCATTGGCCGTGCCTTCGTTACCCTGCGCTGGTGATTTACGGCCGGACCGCGGGTCCGTTTGTAATGCCCTTCCATTAGTCCGTATCAATACGACGCATCATCCCTCTCCCATTCCAAAAGCCGTAAATCGCAATGGCGGCGCACACTCACGATTTTCCGCTTTTTCTCCTTGAGCCCTTCTAGAGCGGTGTCTGTGAAAGGAGACAGAGCATGGTTGGCGAAGCGGACGACGGGCACTTCAAATCCATCACGAAGCAAAATCTTTTTGTTTGCACTACCACACTCCGTTGGGAAGTGCAATGGTCCGGAGCTCGCGTAACGAGGCGGGCTTTTCTCACAGCTTGTAATCCACGTGACGCTTAGAATCCATGGTAAGCTATTGTATAAAACCGTTGTTCTTGGTGACGGTTACAATGTCCGGCAGATATTATTATTATCACCATCATTGCATTTCTGTCATAGTGGTCTCATTTATAACTCATAAGCAAACAAGAATGTGAACATGAGTCATCACTGCAGGACTATATTAAGGCACCTTTATGGTTAAAATCAAAGTCATTACCATCATCATTTTAGTTTGAATCTCAACACACAAAACAAAAAATCGAATCGTACGTTTGAAAAAAGAGATCTCGTGGTGGTTTGCGGTGCCATATTAACGACTAACTTAGAAGCCTGTCCACTGAGCAAGCATCGGAGCTTTGAACTTCAACACAGTACAGAACCAATGGATAGAGATGGATCATCAAGTAGCATACCAACTGCAACAGGCATTGAAAAAGGCTGTTAACAAAGCACAATAATAGTTATAAAAACCCCATGCTGAATTTACAAACCACTGATATATCTCCATCTGACAAGTGTAGGGAATTATACTGTAGGTAAAGGCACAACCCTGCAATTTCTTGCTCGTGCCACTGCTGATTGAAAGGCCTTCAACAACAAGATAGCCCCCCTGGAGGGCTGAGTTGATCTTGCAGTCCTTTCCCCGCACCTCCCGATTAGCGCGGTTGACTACGTACGGTGCAAAAGAAGTTCAAGATACATACATGACCTAGCCTTCTACGCTGGCCAGTCATATTGGCCACACATATTGTACCCACACTTAACGCCACCAAACGCGACCAGCCCACCGACTTAACTGAATGAAAACCGCGGTTAAACTGCACACTCACAGTTGCTCTGCGTCCTTCTCACGAACCACCAGCTCATAAACCTCTTGAGTAGCCACACTCTGCAAGAGAACGATGCACGCCCATGGTACAGGCAGGAAGCGTGCAAGGGAATCGCCATCACTACCAACGAACGTCCGATGTACGGCGCTCTCCGACGTTCTTTCGGAATGTGCCACGCGTCGTTCGGCACGTGGAGCGGAGCGTCGGACATCGTGCCGAACGGCGCGCGCGGCGCAACGCGCAGACGCAATCGGAGAGACGTGATGCGGCACAAACCGAGAAAAAACCTACGCTGTGCGGTTCGATGAATCGACGGCTAACGTCAGCTCACCCGAAACCGCATCCACTGCACAAACCATTGCTGCAGGTGCCAATGACCTGATGCAAAATTAAAATGTCGGCTTTTGCGACCAATATCACCCATAATAGAGGTTGTTTTGAGTTAGATCGCGTAAATATATAAATGTGTCGTTAAAACCCGCCACCACCCGACACAGCCAACTAGTAAGGGTTGTTACATAAACAGAACGTGCCAATTCGTCACCAGTACAGCACACCGGTGTGTTGGACAGCCAAGCCACATTAGCAATCCGAGTACGACGTTTCGCCAATAATTACAACTAGCTTCATCAGACTATCGCCTGAAGCTCGTTGTAATTACTGGCGAAACGTCATCCTCCAAACGACACCGCCAGCACTATTGTTATATTATAAACCAGTACAATATATAATCTATACTCGTAAACGTCAGCATGTTGCCCGCGGCTTTCTAACGGCTTTCGCGTCACACTCCGAGGGGGGGCGATTTACTTGGTCCATCACTACGGCTGCTGATGATGACGATGATCACGGAGCTCCATGCGAGTGCTGAGCGCGAGACTCGGAGCAGCGATGGGGAGGTCCAGGCCGAGGCTGCCCCGTGAGTGAAACCAATCGGTGACCTCTGTGCCCTCCTTTTTTGTGGACCAAACATTCCAATCGTTTTTGCTGTCGCCATAAGCATCAACTTGACTATAATTGTGCACAAACTCCAGCTTTACAGCTCTTATAGAACACTGGTTAGAATTCACATCAATCGGTGGAATCAGTCGCAGTGGTCTCTATGTATTAGATTAAAATATTATACAAGACGATTACCATTGGGCAGATGTCGTTATCAATGGGAAAACAAGATAATTATTTACTAATGATACATCCATTACACTGGCGATGCCTGTCAAATAAAAGGGCTAATTACGACCCGTGGCAGACGGCGAAGTGCGACAGTTGGACGGTAACAAAAAGTTAATTGCCATAATTTCTACCGGAAGCGTTGTAACAGAGCCAGAGGAAATAACATCAAAGGGAAATGTTTACGACAGCAAATGATTAACGTCAAAAAAACCCCGGTGAAACATTAAAATATACACGTGTCCTGGTCCTTGACAATGTTAACGCGGAACGGAGGCCTCCCACCACACCGTGTTGGTCACTATGCATGCACGCTGCAGAGACGAGCATGACAATATCCATCGACTCTCAGACCACGCAAATCTATATTCAATGCAATTAATGCAATAGTGTTACGGCGACCTCGTGTCAATCCACCAATGGATGAAGGCCTTCTCACGCCATCTTGGTCATGGGGGTTGTTTGTCCGTACTTCACGCTGGTTAGTGCAGGTTGTTGGTAAAGTGGTGCGGGGAGGGGGAGGGGGCAGGACCAGTTCAAATATCGCTCGCCATTGATGCTAGCCGTGGCTGAAAATCGAATTCCGGTGGTTGATGTGGAACGCACTTTGCTCCATCGTCGTCGTCGTCAATCATCTCCGTGGATGCCCCAAAGGCCTAAATCACCGCCAACAAAGGAACTCTTGGTCCTCACCCCTCCCTTCAAACCGCGCGCGCATCTCACTTCATCGCCGGCGGAGGAACGCGCGAGCAGTTCGTTAACCGTGGAATCACTCGGAGGGCACTGGGAGCCAGGCCTGTTATTATTTAGCACCTTAATTGTAGACCTGAAGTTTTCGTGACTGCAAGGATCCATACACTCTTTGGTTCTTTCGGTAAAGTCACGTAGGTGAAAATAAAGATAACAATAAAAATAATAAAATAAAATAATACAAATAAAATAAACGAAATGAAATCACGACGTTTCGGAAGCAACACAAACATGACGGAGGCTTGTGTTGCTTCCGAAACGTCGTGATTTAATTTAGTTATTTTTATTTTATTTGTATTATTATTCTTTTATTATTTGTATTATTATGTTTATTTTCACCTACGTGACTTGACCGAAAGAACCAAAGATTATTTAGCACCTAGTTTGTTATTATTTCTCTTTGTTTGTGTTTTACATAAACGTACACCGCTAGCATACAAGCGTACCATTTGCATACAATTTGTATTAATCACATTATATCTTTTTACACGCAATATTATTGTATATTGAGCGGAGGAATCGACTTCAACCAATGAATCCGAGGCATTATTTAGACGGCAAATATTTTGATAGTCTCTACGAATTATTTAGTTTTTTTTTTAACACATCCATTTTTATCTCTCTCTCTCTCTCCAGATTTTGCTACACTTCTCAGATGTCTCCATTTCTTCACTCGGCACACGAACGAGAAGATCTCAAAACGCCTGTAAACGTGTCGAAATCAATCAAAAGCCAAGACGTTTTGCTTATCTCGAGTGTAATGCACTTCTGGCTGAAGGTTCAACTCTTCGCTGCGACGCCCCTACGCTCCTTCTGTGTCAGGCTACAGACCTTTACATCACCCCTCGTAAAAGCAAATACCTGAGATTACATCTAAAGCCCCAAGTGCACAAGGCCACTCACTCCAAGGCTGTGCTTTCAGGTTCAGCGATTTGAAACTCGGTTCCATGGGACAAAAGTTTAAAAGGCACGTTTGTCAAGCAACTTATATTTAGATTTTTTTTTTACAAAAGTACGACGCAGAAATGCCCGTGGCCCTGCGCTATTATGTTAACGGTGGCGAAATGTAAACTGCCTCTCCTGGTATATAGGAGCTTGTGGGTTTGATCCCAACCCTGACGCCTGCTGTATGTTTTGAGTTTGCATGTTCTCCCCTTGGTTGTGTGGATTTTTCTCCGGGTCCTCCGCTTTTTCCCTCCACACTTTTCATGAACACTCATTTTGAGAATTTGGTTCCTGCTATAAATTTTCACGTGATGATGAGCCACTTCGTTGACTATCATCTGTGGCCAGGTCACTTCTGAAAAAGAGCTCCATAGCTCAGTGGGTCTTACCTGGTAAAATAAAAAAGTTTTTTTTTTCGATTTAAAGCTTTCGTGACTGCAGGGATTAATCTTTTTGGTTCTTTCGGTAAAGTCACGTAGAAGGGAAATAATAAAATAATAAAAATAAAACATAATAAAATAATTCTGACTGAGAATTATAAAATAATTCTGACTGAGAATTATTTTATTATGTTTTATTTTTATTACTTTATTATTTCCCTTCTACGTGACTTTACCGAAAGAACCAAAAATAAGTTTTGTTTTGTTTATGAACCTAGCTCGGCGGATAGGTACATCGCAGAATAGCGAGAGATGGTGTAGCGGCGATGGCTTGCAGAGGCCTTCCTCCAGCAGTGGATTGCCCACGACTGCCGATGATGCCTATGATGACGAAAGCTGACGTGTGCAACGTCACGCGTGATGCAAGATGGACGCTCGAAAAGCTGCGAGCCAGCGCTGAGTCGGTTCCGCCGAGGTGCTGGGTTCGAATCTGGGGTCGTATTTCTCGTGATCAAGCCACGTTATAGTGAAGCAGGAAATCATTCACTTTCTTGGGGTGGGGGTTATTATTATTTTTTGCATTAATTAACAAAACTATGAAATTACAACAATTTGTATTTTAACCAGATAAGGCCCACTGAGCCATATAGTTCCTTTTCAGAAGCGACCTGGCCACAAAAGATAGCCCAATTAAGTGGCTTATCGTGTGTAAATGTATTGCAGCCAAATACTCTAAACGCGCGATGTCGATTCTAAATGTGGCGGGTAAAAGCCGGAGGACCCGTAGATAAATCCATGTGGCCACGGGGGGAAGAGACACGCAAACTCCAAATACACAGCAGGCGTCAGGGTCGGGATCAAACCTACGACCTCCCGTATACCAGGCGAGGTAGCTAACATCCCGCCACCGTGCCATTGAAACCGGTGACCTGGGTTTCAGTCCCGGTCACGGCTAACATAATTGGGCGAGCGAGTAGTTAACATCTCGACCACCGCACGTGACACTCACAAGACAGGAAACAGGAGCAAGGGCAGTGCAGCGAAGATCCAGTCCATCCACTCCTTGGGGAAACTCCAAAACCAAAGGAAGGCGGCCGCCACGATGTAGGCGGCCGACGAGTAGAAGATGAGACGGCCGATCCACAGGCGCTGGAGGCGCTGCGTCCTCTCGCTGCGCTCCTCCAAGTCGGTCATGTCCTGAGCGCCAACCGCGTAAAAAAACAAAACAGGGGGCAAGCAAGCGCACCGCCGCGTTTTTTGAGCCAAAGGCCGACCCCGCCTCCTTTCCCCGATGGTACGCAGTGGGTTACGCGACCCGTCGACTTATTCGTATCGCGTTATTCACAGCAAAGCGTGAAGGTTGAGCTGGCTTTCATAGCGACCGGTCGCAGCACCTTGGTGTTGATGTTAAACTAAAACTTAAACGATTGTTGTTATTTTTGGCTACGTACGGTTTCGAAAAAAAGTTCGGCACACCTATGTACCCAAAAAAGGAGAGTCTGCAGAAAAAATTGAAGGCGTCTAAAGGCGGCACGCTCTGCGGAGATGGAGCGACGAAATTGGTTGCTGCGTGGATCGTTACAGCTGGCGGCAGAGGCTTGGGGAAGCCTTCGTCCAGCAGTAGAGTGATCATGGCTGATAATGATGCATTATTTGACGTGTGATTGCATCGGCTATGCCCCCCCCCTCCCAACATAGAACTTAATCTAGGGATTAATACGTAATAGTCTTGGAATTAAATATAAATGTTTATTAAAATCCTAAAGGGAGAAGATAGGCTTGTGAATTTCAGTTATAATGTCATTAGCAGTTAGGAATAAAAGTGTGGTTTCATAGGCTCTCAGTGTATTATTAACATTTTGTCGTATTTTAACCACAGTGGGAATGGTGGTGCGGAGGTTATTGCATTGTCAGATGAGCTCGGTGATCTGAGTTTGATTCCAGGCCACAGTTGATATCAGTGGTGAGTGATAATCGAACTGGTGCTGGAACATCCTTTCACAAACCTGTCCTGGCCAGCGTGGTGAAGTATGGTCAAGCAACACCTCGTAACCGACACAGTGTGGATGAGCCTTCATCCGAAAGTCTATCAACGTTTTCCCGTTCAGAGACGTCTGCAAGTTGCAGGGCGGGTGTCCCGTTCACCTCTCAATCTCGGAACGTGCGAACGGCTCAGCGTTCATTTTATTTAGAGAGGCAGAGAACCGTAGCGACACGACCACACTCCAAGACTGCTAAGGCCAAAAGTGTGCCACAGGCCCTCCCGCATGGCCTTGTGGGAGCCTCTCGGTACCGATAAGGTTATTTTATTTTAGTTTTTTCTCCAGTTTCGTTTTTCGTTGATGTAAACGTACGTCATCGAAACGGGAAAGGGTTAACTGCTGGGCACATATTTCTACTGCTGGATGGACAGAGGAGGAGGGGGGGGATGTAAAAATTTTGCCCCCCCACCTCGGGATATGGAATCAAACCGGCGACCTCTGCATTGCAAGTGCGGTGTGAAAACCACCACGCCCCGCACGGCAGCGATCCCTTTTAACATATAATTTGTTGTTATTACTTCATGCAACTTAGTTAATGCAAACGGCCTTCATGTTTGGCAGCTCGGGACGTGATGCCGCAATGAACAATCTGAACCTCGTAAAAGATACTACAGAGTCTAATTAAGTGTATGCTTTACAGCAAAATGCCACGCTGTGTCGCAGCATGAATGAGCAGAGGGTGGGAATCCAAACAGGCAATGACTTGCAACGTGGACTCGTGCCAGTTGAGCCGAGAGGCTGTGCAACCGCTCAATAATCTCAGCGTGGTCGGGTGGAATCTGATTTGGTCCGTTCCGTACGTCATAGGTGCAAGCGTGCCAGACGCGCGGACACTGACAAAGGAAACACAACTGATGTGCCCAAAAGAATGACGTTTTCATCAGTGTATATGTTTTACCTGCTATAGGTATATGGCTCAGAAATAATTACATTGACAGATAATATGGAACAAAAGCACAAACGTGTGCAAAGGCCTCGACACAGAGACGTTGTTTCTCTGTGTGCCTATGTGTGTCTCTCTCTGTGTCTCTGTGTTGTCTCTCTCTGCTTGTGTCTGTCTATGTGTCTCCGTGTCTGTGTTTTGTCTCTCTCTCAAATTAAGCACTCTTTGGAAGAACGTAATCTACCAGGTAAGGGTGTTGACTTATGTTAGCCGACTCTGTGTTGTTTTGCATTATATTTCTAAGTTTACTAGGTTTTTTTTCTCATTCATTCGTACCTGATGATGATTGCTTTTGTTGCAATCGAAACGTCGTATTATATGATTAAATACATTTTCTTTCTACGCGACTTTACCGAAAGAACCAATAAGTAATTCCTGCAGTCACGAAAGCTCCGAATAAAGTTTACGCAAAGAGATCTTCGGGCGCCGCGGTGGCGAGATGTTATCTCCCTCGCCTGCTAAGCAGGAAGACATGGGTTCGATCCCGACCCTGGCGATACCTGTATATATTTGGAGTCCGGCGTGTTCGCTCTCCCTGTGTATTTTTCTCCAGGTTCGCCGGTTACGTCTTCCACTTTTAGAAAGTTGCGTTTATATTATTTGGCTGCTGCTATAAACTCCAACATGTGATGATAGAAGCAAACTTCGACAAGCTATCACGTGTGGCTAGGTCACCTCCGTAAAAGAGCTAATCGCTCAGTTGGGCTTTACCCGGTAAATAAAATCGTTTAGTTTAGTATGTTTGGAATCACAGCAGTAAGAGACCGTGGATCAGGACATCATCACAATTACTTCACAAAAGTTAAATGGGCATTGGTAGCACATGCCACTAAACGAGATGATGTGTGGGTGCAAGGCTGGTGATGGGAGCAGTAACTAAGGGAGATAACACAACCAATACAGTGACCTCCACGGAGATGGAGCGATGAGATGAGTTAATGTGCAGGAGCGATATGGATTGTGGCATCACAGGACCATGGTGGGGATGTGGTGATGCCATGTATAGGCAATGAAGATGATGATGATGAAGATAGTTTGTGGTAAGTTCAATGAACTGGCTTACCTTTTCCAGTGTTTCTAACTGTTGTATGGTAGAAGGCTTGGCCTGGAACAACAAGAGAAGTTTTAATGTACTGTGTTCATATCAATTCAAGTGTTTTACAATTTATATATTCTTAGCTAGACTTCTACAAACTTTCACTGGTGATACATGACGCCTAAATAACGTTTTACCAATCATCCTCCTTTACGTTTTGCGTTAATTTAAAGTACTTTACAATTCACAGATATCGCAAACGGCCCAAAATATCAACCGCAAAAACAGCAGCTATGCAAACCTGTTCGGCACATCAGCCCCACGGCTAAGAGCAGGTTTGCTGGCAAGTGCATTTGTTGCATTACAGCAAAGCAGAGAGACTGTGGGATTAACCGGGAGAACGAGAAGGCATTTTGACATTGACAAGAAGGAACTCGGATTAGAAAGGTACACCATAGATATCAACCAGGATCCTAGGTCGGGGCTGGACCCGGGTTCGGATATCACTTCGCCAATGGTGTTAGCCGTCACCGGGAATGAAACCCAGATCACTAGTTTCAATGGCACTGGGGCAAGATGTTTAACTTCCTCGCTTGGCATACAGGAGATCATGGGTTCGATCCCGACCCTGACGCCTGTATATTTGGAGTTTGCGTGTTCTCCCCGTGGTCGCGTGGATTTTTCTCCGGATCCTCTGGTTTTTTTCCTTCCACATTTATAAACAACGTCCGTTTGGAGTATTTGGCTGCTATAAATGTCCAGCAGATCAGCCACTTCGTTGAGCTGTCAATTGTGGTCAGGTCGCTTCTGAAAAAGAGCTATGTAGCTCGGTAGGCCTTACCTGGCAAGACGGGAATAGTAATAAGTAATATTTTAAAAAACTTTATAAAAACACGCTTTAATGAAATGTACCATACTAGTAATTGAAAAACTCCACGACTCCAGGAAGTGGCCCCAAAGCTTGCCATAACGTAAGGGGCCGTGGTGATTTACAGCTAACGTCAGTTGACCGTGGACAATTGGAGCCAAGCCGAAACATAACATATAAAAAATAATGTTTTAATATGTTTTTTATTTTTTATAATAGAATCAAGTATTGTCATCAGTATGACATAAGTATACCAAGTTTGCAGTCGATACCACATTGGAAAGTGGGTAAAAACTGAGTTACAATATTTGAGGATACAACGACAACAGAGTTAAATAAAAGCGTGTAAAAAAAGAATAGTAATCCTTCACAGCCATGGCAAGCATCAATAAATAATATTCATTCATTGACCTTATCACTCGAGGCCCATCCTCCTCATAATACCTTCTTGTGTCGTCTTTCCAAACACTGAGGGGGTATGTTTCCCTTCCCAAGGGCTCAATGGGACTCTCTCGCATAACCGTGGCAGGTCAAACATCAACACGACCTTTGGCGAAATCGAATAATTTATACAAATGCTTCGGCGCCCGCCTTTGCCGTAATGACAAAAGTGAGAATTGTAAACACAGTGTTGTTGTTGCCAGGTCCAAAATATTGCCTTCTCGTACCCGATCAGCGTGGCTAAAAAATGCTTGCAGCGATTGGTAAATATCAATTGAGGGCCAATTTAAAGTGATTGGGCCTTTCATAGCCACGGGCCGTACGGATTGAAGTCGAGGGCCGTATTTGGCCTCGGAGCCGGAAGTTCTCCACTCTTGCCCTACCCTCGTCACACGTGTCCCTGTACTTGCCAAATCTTCCACTGCCCCCTTTGCCAAATGCCCCCCCCCGCCCCCACCTCCTGGCATCTATAACAAATTTCCTGCAAATCCCCTTGCCTGCCCCACACCCACAAACTCACTAACCCAACCACTCACCCACCCACACCCCCGACCCACTCACCAACAACAACAACCGCCAATTTGCCACTAAGTGGCGGTGACGTCACCACGGCGCCTGTGCCAGGCTACGTGCACGTTAAGGCCACGCAAAGTGTCGAACGCCCGCTGGCAGGTCACGGGTCAGACCCCAGGTGCCATGGGTTGACTGACTGAAATGATTGGCCAAATGCACCACCTGTGCACCCTACTGTGCCAACAACATCCACCCACTCATCCACCCCACTAACCCCACTCACTCCCCTCACCCACCCATCCACTATCTACCAACCCACTGACCCACCCAACCCAAACTCAGCACACAGTCCCCCCCCCCACCTTCTTTCATTTATAAATCCTCACCACCTGCCGCATGCTCGTCTAACAACGCGACTCCGCGTGCTTGCTGGAAGGCGTTCAAAACGCCGCCACGGTCAGTTGCGCGCTCCTGCCACCGATGCTAGGCTCTGACCAATCTGCCTTTCCCCGAGGGCAAAGCGATCGCCAACCTGTCTCCCCGATGTCCCGCCGACCCGAGCACATCGTTAACGTATCCAGCTCATGTGGGGGTCCTCTACAACTCCGTTACAAGGGGCAGGGGGGCCACGGGGTTTGTCTGGAACCAGCAACGATCCGTCTGGTTGATGTGTGTCGCACGGGGCAATTGTTGAGAGATTGGGAGCTGGGGTGGCTCGTGTTTTGTTAATTTCCTCGCCCGGTATATACAAGGAGATCGTGGGTTTGATCCTTGACGCCTGTTGTTGTATATTTGGAGTTTGCATATTCTCTCTCTCCCCGTGGATTTTTCTCCGGGTCCTCCGGTTTTTCCCCTCTACATTTAGAATCAACATTCTAGATTTGAAACTTTCGTGACTGCAATTATTCATACTCTTAGGTTTTTTCGGTAAAGTCACGTAGGTAGAAATAAATAATAAAAATTATATTAGAAATAAAATAATATAATACTTTATTTCTATTATTATTTGTATTATTTATTTTTATTATTTATTTTACCTACGTGACTTTACCGAAAAAACCTAAGAGTAGAATCAACATCACCACGCGTTTAGAGTCTTTGGCTGCTAGACATGTCCACGTGATCAGACAATTCTGTGGGCAGTCATTTGTGGTCACGTCGCTTCTGAAAGAGCTACGTAGCTCAATGGGGGCCTTGAAATGTAAAATAGAAATAGTCTAATAGTATAGTTTATAGTCTAATCTTTGAGAATTTTTATTTAAGTTAACAACTCTCCATTCTCCGGAAGATTATCCAGGCTGCAGATGAGCCGCGCTCTTACGCGCCCTTAAATGTGCACGTTTGTTTAGTTGGCATCATCACTTTCATCATCACATGAACATCTCTATGCCATTTAACAAACATATTACCATAACCACCCTCAGCAAACATCACCACCATACATAATTACCATACGTAGGCAGCATAATTATCAACTCCACCATTATCAGATAACATCAATACTGTACCAACAACAACCGCCTTTCGCCACTAAGTGGCACTGATGTCACCACAGCGTTTGTGCCAGGCTAGGTGCACTTTGCACCGTCATCACCATCACCACCAACATAATCACCACCACCACCATCACCAGTCACAACACCATCAGCAGCAGAAATGATTACCATCACAATGTTGCCAAACATCACCAGTTTCTGTTGTTGCTATTGACACCAAGGTGCCATCACCAATTAAACATCATCACACATCAGCAGCATCGTAATTTACCACCACCCATCAACATCACAATAACCATCACCACCATTACAATCACAGCTGGGCGGTAAAACAAGGTACCACTTTGTGGACTAGTGGGTTAAACTCAAAACACATTCTCGATGCAAAGACAAAGATCCCCCGTGTAGCCTTAACAAAACTGTGTGGCAAGTGCTGTTAGCGAGCACCTATTAAGACGGGCACAACACACAAGGGGGTTGTGTGGCCAACACCACGCCCGGCCGCCTTTGTCTCCCCCAGTGGCGATGTTTACACACCCACACCAGGTGCTCGTTTGAGGCTGAGTCGACCTAGGGGAGGGCCCGGGACCGGTTCAGATGAATCGTCAGCGGGCGTCGGTGGCCAAGAGCGGTGAAGCGAACCCGGGACGCCGGGTTCAGCAGCGTAAGCGCTACACCACCGCTCCCCACACACACACCCCCACACACAACACCCCCACACACACACCACACCCCACAACAAACAAACCCCACACACAACACCCACAAAACACCCCACACACCCTACACACACACCCCACACTCCCACACACACACACCCCACACACACCAAACCCCACAACACACACCAACATACACAACACCCCACACACACACCACACACACACCCCACACACACAACACACACCACACACCACACACGCAACACCCCCCACACACGCAACACCCCACACACACAACACCCCACACACAACACACCCCACACACAAAACACCCCACACACAACACACCCCACACACAACACACCCCACACACAACACACCCCCACACACAACACACCCCACACACAACACACCCCACACACAACACACCCCACACACAACACACCCCACACACAACACACCCCACACACACAACACCCCACACACAACACACCCCACACACAACACACCCCACACACACAACACCCCACACACAAAACACCCCACACACAAAACACACCACACACACAACACCCCACACACAACACACCCCACACACAAAACACCCCACACACACAACACCCCACACACAACACACCCCACACACAACACACCCCACACACACACACCCCACACACAACACACCCCACACACAACACACCCCACACACAACACACCCCACACACAACACACCCCACACACACCACACCCCACACACACAACACCCCCCACACACACCACACCCCACACACACCACACCCCACACACAACAACACCCCCCCACACACAACACCCCCCACACACAACACCCCCCCACACACAACACCCCCCCACACACAACACCCCCCCACACACAACACCCCCCCACACACAACACCCCCCCCACACACAACACCCCCCCACACACACACCCCCCCACACACAACACACCCCACACACAACACACCCCACACACAAAACACCCCACACACACAAAACACCCCACACACACAAAACACCCCACACACACAAAACACCCCCCCACACACAAAACACCCCACACACACAACACCCCCCCACACACAACACACCCCACACACAAAACACCCCACACACACAACACCCCCCCACACACAACCCCCCCCCACACACAACACCCCCCCACACACAACACACCCCACACACAAAACACCCCACACACACAACACCCCCCCACACACACAAACCACAACTCCACACAACACACCCCACACACACAACACCCCCCACACACAACACCCCCCACACACAAAACACCCCACACACACAACACCCCCCCACACACAACACCCCCCCACACACAACACCCCCCACACACAACACCCCCCCACACACAATCGCAAGACCCCCCCCCCACCACCACGTCGCCGTTATTTCGTCGCCGATCGTTGTAACTTGAAAGCGTCAATTCGCGTCCGAAAGTTTCCCGAACGCAACAGCAGCCTGCGGGCTCACCCTTCGGAAGCGCGACACGAGGACTCCCATCGCCGCCTGCCGCTTGCCGCTGTTAACAAGCGAATGGTGGTGGAAACAAAAGACACCCACACCACGAACACCACTACTAACCACCACCACCACTACCACCACCACCAGCACCACCACGCTGGCAACACGAAACAAGGCCGAGGAGATATTTCTCGGGGCTAAGACGATTCGCCCGCGAAGATCTCTGGGCTCGCTTCACGAACGAAGCAAAAGTTGTACGAATCGTAAAGGTTGTGGTTGGTTGTGGTGTTGGTTGTGGTTGTGGTGTTGGTGGTGGTGGGATATTAACTTTGATTACCACCGTCCGCACTGTACACAACGACGCAAGCGAATGGGCGCGGACTCGAGATTTGAAATCCCACTACGGATAAGCGGCGAGGTCTCCTGTCCTCGAAGCCGATTCGTCGGGGTGAGTTGAAGCGACAGCCAATGGGGAAGGGCGGTGGGGGGGCAGTTGCGGTGGTTGGTGGGGACGGCGCTCGATTTGGACCAATGGGGAGGCGCGGAATCGCATGCCGATGCGCGTCAGTTGTGTGGAATTTGGTGCGTACGTCAGAGCCGCGGTGACGTCACGCGAGGGGTGTGTCACGCAGGCAGACGAAGAGCCACGTGGAAATTTAAAAAAAGCGAATTAATTTGCACCGCTGCATTCGTCAATGACGCTATGCGTGACCTTTTAAAATAAAAACAATATATGTAACATAGGCGACGTTTCGGCTAATGGCCCTTCTTCCGAAGGCGACGTTTAGGGCAATGACCTTTAAAAAAAAATTCATGTGAAAAAGGGGTGAGTGCCCGAAACGTCGCTTATTTGACGTTTGATTTTAGGGCAGCACAGTGTTACGCGCTAAGGATAGTTGTCCGAAACGTCGCCAATTATATATTTGTTTATTTCTTAACAAGGATACAGTGTTACATGAAGGACAACAGAGGCGTCGCGGTGGCTAGGAGATGTTAACTACCTCGCCTGGTATGCAGGAGGTCGTGGATTCGATGCCGACCCTGACTGCCTGCTGCTGTATATTTGGCGTTTGAGTGTCTCTCTCCATTTAGAGACGTGCGCTTTGGAATATTTGGCTGCTGCTATAATTTTCCACGTGAAAAGCCACTTCACTGAGATTTCATTTGTGACCAGGTCGCTTCTGAATTAGAGCTATCTGGTAAAATATATTTAAAAAAGTTTATTAGTTTATACTGCATGTGTTTCCTCTCAAGACAGTGACAACGAATGCGTTACATAGTTTTTTTTTTTACTATTTGTCGAATTAAGAAATAGCTTAGGGTCGCAAGCTGAGTCTGGGATTACATTTACGTGTATGCACTCTGTATGTTGAACTTCATTCGCACCGTACGTAGCCAATTGTGCTAATCAGAGGTGCGAAACTTGCATACAAGTCAGACAACCACATCGGGAGCAGTGGAGTGTTGTCGCTGCGATGTCTGCCTTCGTTAGGTCTCTGTTCCAGGATGCTGCAGAGTTAAAAAAACAATTACACGCTTTTATTATTTAACTTATATTTAACTCTGTTGTCGTTGTTGTTATTCTTGGTTCTTTCGGTAAAGTCACGTAGAAGGGAAATAACAAAATAAAACTCTTATTATTTTATTATTTCCCTTCTACGTGACTTTACCGAAAGAACCAAGAAGATGAATCCCTGCAGCCACGAAAGCTTTAATTCGAAATTTAAGTCGTTGTCATATCCTCAAATCTTGTAACTCAATTTTAACCCACTTCCCAATGTGATATCGACTGCAAACTTGGTATACTTATGTCATACTGATGACAATACCATATTCTATCATAAAAAAATAAACCAAAACAATTGTAAACTATCTTTATACACGGCTTTCTATGAACTCTTGTTGTATCCTCAAATATTGTAACTCAATTTTCACCCACTTCCCAATGTGGTATCGACTGCAAACTTGGTATACTTATGTCATACTGATGACAATACCATATTCTATTAAAAAATATATAAAAAGTATTTTTAAACATTCATTTTTACATGTTATGTTTCTGCTTGGGTCTAATTGTCCACGGCCACTGTCTGGAGTCACGGAGTTCTGCCATTACGAGGAGGGTACATTTTATTAAAGCGTGTTTTAAAAAAAATTCAATATTACTTCTTTATTTTCCATTTGTGCATCTGCTGCAGCCACGGTCTGTGGGGATGCCCTTTCGGGTGGACCATGAGCTTCGTGCAAGACCTTAAATACCGCATGGCTAACCGGGGTCCCGTAGAAATATATACTCTTAGTTTTTTCTGTAAAGTCACGTAGGTAAAAAATGAGATTAAAATTAATAAAAATATAATAATAAAAAATCACGACGTTTCGGAGGCAACACAAGTCTCCGTCATCAGGTGGGACCGTCACAGCCAGATTTGCTACATCAAGTGAGACAGGGATTCCAAGATGCAAGTTCTTAAATACAAGTTAAGGGGGAGGAGAGTGGGGGGGGCTTATCAGAATGTGGTAGCCAATGAATGGAACGTATCAGGAGGGGGGGGCGGGGCTAAAAGAGAGCACGAGGTGCACGTCCCGTAGAAATATCTGCTTAAAATCCCAGATATCAACGCAAGCCGCACGTTCACACACGAACTTCAAGGGGCCCCTTTCTCGGTAACAGACGTGACCTCGCATGCTCAAGTCAGGGGCTGATGATGTTGCCAGGTCAAATATAATCCCCTAATCCTCGACCACCGATTCTGCGGCCGCGAATATACTCGCGGTGACAGAAGCGACCTCGCATGCTAAAATTAGAAAGGAAGCGTTGTCAGGTCGAAAATAATCTACAGTATTACCCTTTCTGTGTAGCCTGTGCTGCCTGAAATAAAAATATATTAAAGACGACGTTTTGAGCAAACGGTCCTTCTTCAAAGAACATTTTTACGTGCCATGAATAAGGGCCATTCCCCAAAACGTTGCCTATCAACAATAATTTGATTATTTGACTTACTGGCAGCCGCACTAATCGGGCACTAATTGTTTGGCGATGCTGCTGCTGCTGCTGCTGCGTTGGCAGTGGTGCATGAACAACAACAATGCAACCCAAATGATGATATCTGTACCGGTTGCTGGGACCACCTTATTTTCCAATTCGCACTGACCAGCGTGGTGAAGTATGGTCAACCCCCACCCCCCATGACTAACACGCAACCATCCAACCCTTGACACCCCTCTCCCCCCCGTCCCCACAAAAATTGCATTCGACCTATTACTATTCTTATTTAATACATGGGGCTTGTTTCTAGCGATAATATTCCATCGTGTACCGTTCACACCGCCATGCAGTTATTGACATGCCAGACATTGCGTTGTTGCGTAACTCTCTTAGGGAGAGAGTTATGGAGTTAGGGAGATAGTTACGCCATACACAACGGCCCTTTTAGAATGACGACACATCTGCGCTTGTAGACAGACGCCATCAATAGAGCTACTTCCCTCTATCCACAAACACGCCTTGCAAAACAGAGAACTGACTAAATCGAATTATCTTAGCTCAGTGGTTCTTAACTTTTACAGCAGCCTTGCACCCCTTTGGTTCTTAATCGTAAAAAAAACTGTACAATGTTAATAAATACATCGGTTTTGATGAAAAAAAGTATTTGTACTTACGTGCCCCTGCTTGCTCTTTAGTTCTTTCGGTAAAGTCACGTAGGTATAAAATAAAATAAATTCAATCACGACGTATCGATTGCAACACGAAAAAAACAATTCTTGCTGTGGGTTTCCCACCTGATGATGGTCGCTTGTGTTGCAATCGAAACGTCGTGATTTAATTTATTTTATTTTATACCTACGTGACTTTACCGAAAGAACCAAAGAGTATGGATCCCTCTAGATTTGAAGTATGGATCCCTGCAGTCACGAAAACTTCTAATCTAGATTGCCCCTGCTTAATTTGTTTTTTCTAAGAAGACCTGGCCATGTCTCGCACCCCCAGAAAGGGCATCTCGCACCCCAAGGGCATCTCGCGAGATGCACCCCAGGTTAAGAACCACTGTCTAAGGCCAACATCCCTCGCCCCCAAATGAATGTGATGGTTGTTTGTGTGTGTGTGTAGCCATTGCTGACGGAGCTGACAGCGTCAATCATTGAGAACCCGGTCTGACCACAATGATCAACCTTCTTGGTTCTTTCGGTAAAGTCACGTAGAAGGGAAGTAATAAAATAATAAAAATAAAACATAATAAAACAATTCTCACGACGTTTCGGCTACAACGCAAGCAGCCGTCTTCTTAAATTGTTATGTTCCAAAGCTGTTGCCATTTCTATAGGTGAGGCAAAATCGGTAACCGGTTCTTACCAGTTTTCATGCCACTATTGGTAATGCAATAATAAAAGCGGATTGAACACATCGGACTTTAAACGCGAGTAGCCATCCCAGCTGCACTGTGTCTGTGTTATTTTTTTGTCAACTCCATTTGCTTGAGAATGTTGGCTCCATCCCAGAATGTGTGTTCTGGGGCCGGTCACAGCGTCAGGGCTTGGCCTGGGTTTTCATTCCCTGCGTCCGAGAAATAAATTTACCACCGGCCATGCAGGTCAGACCACAGGAACATTTTACCTTAATTTGACATTAAGCAATGCATGTATGTATGTTGAACTTCCTTCGCACCGTACGTAACCAACCGTGCTAATCGGATGTATTGTTTTTTATCCACAGACAGACCGGTCTTGACCTTGAACTCAACAAATACTTTTTTTGTGGAAACCTGTTAATCGGGGGTATGTCTGAGAAAGAGGGGCCCAATTTATTAGCTGAGCTGAGTTATTTTTTGGCACAGGTTCGATGCCATTGAGTAATGAATGCCCGTTGTCGACTTGTCTACGGAAACCTGCAGGTTACACCATGGTCACCTGATTACGGTAAAAGAAACAAACAATATATATGAACAATGCAAACAATTTAACACGATCAAGTTTCGAATGGCAACGTCATTAATCAACATTGTACAACCAACACAAATAATTCAACGAGACAATTAATTCGATTTGCCTTGTTTATATATACTAACTTGAGTTAACTTTAAAAGATTAGGTTTTTTTTGGCCAGTACAATGATCTGCATTTGTTTCTGGGGTCGATCACGTGCTGGTGGTGGTAATGGTGCTGGCGGGCACGACATGGGCTGAAGAAGAGATGGACTGATGCATATGGGAGGATGTGGAGCTGAGTGGACTTGCCAACGACTGGTACCAGCGGTGTCAATATCGGCCTCTATATAGCAGGCTCGTGAAGGACGCTACTGGGCAGTTGGACGCAGTCGCCCTCCAGCAACAACGGAGGGCAGAGGAGCGACGTTCACAACAACGAGCGGAGCACCG